GACCATGATGCTGCTGATGCTCGCGCGCGCGCCGGGGGGGCGGGTTTGAAGGGCAGGGGGGAGGGAGCGTAGTGCATATGCCTTACGGCTCACGGTTTAGGGTTTAGGGTTTTAGGGCTTGCCAAACTGTTGGCAGCATCTTCGGGGCGAGAATCGGAGCGGCGAGGGCCATGCCGGCCCGTGCCGCCAGGCTCTAATATAAAATTGGTTAAACCAAAAAAGGAACTACAATGGAGACTATAGGTATAGAGTATAGAGTTAGGGCTCACAGGGTTTATAGGGTTTGGGGGCTACTGTGGTGGTCTGCAGAGCTCTCGTTTTTCCATGTCAGCAATGCTTGTTGATTTGCTTGGCGCTTGGGTGGCCCCAGTGTGCCGAAGACTTCCGAAGAGCCCGCGTATCTACGGTAGTTCTCAAACGAAGCCCGACGCATCATGGCTGCCATGATCCGCTTCTTGGTCGCCATCCTAAGCGTTGGTTCCTATGCCTTGATCTTGCCAACCTCAAACAGGCCGGCGGCCCTGCCCGCACTGGCCACGAAAAAAACCAGTGCGCAGGAGCCTGCGGAGATCGTGGCTGAGCCCGTGGCTGCCGAGCCTGGGGAGCCTGTGGCCGCTGAGCCCGCTGTTCAACCCGTGGCGGCTGAGCCTGTGGAGCCTGTGGCCGCTGAGCCTGTTGAGCCTGTAGCTGCCGAGCCCGTGGAGCCTGTGGCTGAGCCTGTGGCTGCCGAGCCTGTGGAGCCTGTGGCGGCTGAGCCCGCTGTTGAACCCGTGGCTGCCGAGCCCGAGCCTGTGGAGCCTGTGACTGAGCCTGTGGTGGCTGAGCCTGAGCCTGTGGCTGAGCCTGTTGAACCCGTGTCTGCGGAGCCTGTGGCCGAGGAAGACAAGGAAAGGGTGCCAGAGGTTCAGCAGCAGGAAACGATGGACTTTGACGAGGGCGAAAATGACCCCAATGCTCCCTGGAATCACATGGAGAAGAACCCTCTAGACACTGAGGAATTCTCGAATATCTCCTTGGACACACTGGATGAAGAAATGAAGGAACGCCTTGCGAAAGCGGAGGTGCCTGATGATGCGAAGAACTTCACATTCAATGTGTCCTTTAGCAGTACAAGAAGCAACCCTTTAACTGAATGAACTTGATTGTTTGCTTTGTCCCTACCCAAAAGCCTGAGGCCTCCAGTGGCCCTAAGAAGCTGGACAAGTAAGGTCCGACATCGAGGGGACGAAGCCTCCACCGCTTGAGGTTGCCGCAATGCCAGCCGCAGCCCCAGCCCCAGCCCCAGCTCCAGCCGCGGCCGCATCCCCAGTGGCCGCCGAAGCAGCCGCTGAGCCCGTGGCGGCTGAGCCTGTGGAGCCTGTAGCTGAGCCTGTTGAACCCATGGCTGTCGAGCCTGTGGCCGCTGAGCCCGTGGAGCCTGTGGCCGAGCCTGTTGAGCCCGTAGCTGCCGACACTGAACCCGTGGCTGCCGAGCCTGTGGCGGCTGAGCCTGTCCAGCCTGTGGCTGAGCCTGTGGAGCCCGTGGCTGCCGAGCCTGTGGAGCCTGTGGCGGCTGAGCCTGTCGAGCCTGTGACCGAGCCTGTTGAACCCGTGGCTGCCGAGCCTGCTGAGCCTGTGGAGCCCGTCGCTGCCGAGCCTCAGATTACCGAACCCGTGGCGACCGCTGCCGAGCCTAGGACGGAGCCTGCGGCCCAGCCTCCGACCCAGCTGACAGGTGCTGAGCTGGCGGCGGAGGAGTCGATGAAGGAAGAGCCGACCTATGAGATGGCAAGTCCCGGCGCAGAGAAGGAAGAGCCCACTTTTGAGATGGCCGGGTCACAGTCCGAACCGAGCGACGAGGCAAAGACAGAGGCAGGGCCCAGCAGCACCTCTTAGCCCATAAACCCTAAGCCTTAAACCCTATAAACCCTATAAACCCTACACCTCAAACCCCAAAGCCCTGAACCATGGCCTTAAACCCCTATAAACCCTATAAACCCTATAAACCCTAAACCTTAAACCCTAATACCCTGAACCATGGGAGGCTTACGAGCTGGCCACCGATGAGATGATGCCTGATGCCCCAGCTCATGCGGCTGTTAACAGCCACCAAGAGTCGGAGTGGACCACTGAACCCGGTGCCTTAGATAGCCAATGGGAAAACTTTACACTTTTTGGCCCTAGATATTAGGCCTATCCTATCGAAGTTTGAACTTTTTGGGGCCTGGTTGTTGAAGAAGAGAGGTGCTGTGATGGACAGAGTGTCGGCTCCACATGCGCCGGTTCCTTCCTGGCCTGAAGCATCGAAGCCCGTTGCGGCCTTGCGTTAGGCATGAGAGGCGGCTGCGAAGCGCAGCTACATCAAGGCACAGCAAAAATCAGAACTCCCATGCGCTGCTTGTGTGCGGATTGTGAGTCTCTGCAGTGGCTGTCAGGATGTCCCAGGGTGCTCAAGCGGTGGTCAGGGTTTATAGACAGCCACTCCACGCGGTAGTTTAACAGTTTAGCTGCAATGATGTCGTCATACAGATCGTGGCTGGATGCAGAGCATGGGTCACGCACATCTTCACAATCGCATGTTTGAACCAGATTTTGTCAGTCTCAGCGTCGACCCCAAACATTTGATACACCTTTAGGGTAAACTCCCCAAACCCTAAACCCTAGAGACCGGGCAGCCGCCGCAGCTCTAAATCCAAATCCTTCAGACAGTCGGATGCCGAGGACCTGGACGACCTGGATCTTACCGGTGCGGAGAAAATCTTCGTAAACGAAGTCGACGAATGGGATCAGTCGGATGAGGCGAGGATGCATAGCTGGTTTCTTGAGGGATGCGAAACGTAGTTTGAAGAAGTTGGCTGCATCGGTTGAGAATCGACTGAGAGCTTCTTACAAACCCTAAACCCTAAACCCTAAACCGTTCTACACTCCGTGTTGACTCCTGCGCCTCCTCCTCGGTTCCCCCGGTTTAGGGTTTTGGGTTTGGGGTGCTCACGTCCTTACCAGCATCGACATACATCCCAACTCACGTCGATCCGGATCTTTACGGTCAACATGTTAATCACCTCATCATCCTCGTCATGCTCCTCGTCCTGCTCATCACTTGCACCGTCATCTTCAACAACGGTCCTGTCTGCTTCAGTTTCCGCCTTCCCAGCGGCACCATCACCACCACTAGCAGCACCATCAAAAGATGAATGTCTTACCACGTCTCTTTTGTTACCTTATTTTCCATCATCAGCCACTCATCCACATCAGTGTCGCTTGCAAGGTACTGTCCATCGCTATCGCAACCGTCATCGTGATCGCCATGCGCCGTCGTCATTTTCATCATGCAACATCTTGCGTATCGTCTCTGTGATGGAGATCGTCTTCGAAGTCGTCGTCATGGTTGGCACCATTGATGCTTATCATCTCTGTCAGTTTTTCTGTTATTCTATTTCCTCTCCGTCGATATCCTCGTCAGCACCACTCTCCTCATCACCGTCGTCACTTTCATCTAGAATCCAGACATCAGCACCGGCGTTCTGTCTCATGTCCTGCTGCTGTTCGCCCAGTATCCAGCAAACTTCACTACTTCCGAAACTCTAAACCCTAAACCCTAAACCCTGAACCCTAAACCTCTACAAACCCTAAACCCTACTGGCCGGGGTTCAGGGTTTAGGGCTTAAAGTTTAGGGTTTCGTAGGGACCATGAAGCCTCAACCAGAAGCCCTAAACCCCTGAAAGCTGTTATAGAAACCCTACACCCTCAACCCCTAAACCCCTAAACCCCCAAACCCTATAGCATTCTAGAAACCCTAAGCCACTAAACCCCTGAATCATAAAACACCTTAAACCCTAAACCCTAAATCCTAAACCCTAATTCCTAAACCCTAAACCCTAAACTCAAAATCAGCCAATCCATTCGCAGGTTTGGGACATCAGGCGCCCAGCGAAGGACCAGCAAAGCACTCCCGAGGCTGGGCTTTGGGGGTTCGGGGTTTAGGATTTAGAGTTCAAGGTTTAGGGTCCTAGGTATTTAGGATCTGGAGTTTTGGGTTTAGGGTCTTAGGTATTTCGGATTTAGAGTTTAGGGTTTAGGGTCTTAGGGGCTTAGGATATAGAGTTTTGGGTTTACGGTCTTAGGTATTTAGAATTCAGAGTTTAGGGTTTAGGGTCTTAGGTTGGGCTTAGGATTTAGGGTCCAGGGTTGAGCGTTCAGGGTTTAGGGATGAGAGGGAGTTTTTGAACCGCGACGACGGGTCTGGTAGTACGTGAGAGTCAGAAATAAGGCCGTTTGGGTGAGACTGCCGTAGTAAAGTCTGACTGCCACAGCAATGTCCTGCCTTGATAGCCGCATGATACCTCTAAGGCTCATGACCGCTCGAAAGCCTTATATGTGATGGTTTGGGTGCCCACAACCCTACACCCCAGAGCCTTGAACAACCGAGTCCCGAGACCCTAAGCCCAAAACCCGACAGCATTAGTATCTCTGCCTTGCTTGTTCGGCCCACGGCTTCGGTGTAGATAGGCTTATAAGACATCAGGATCATCATCATCGTTGTCATCATCATAGATAGAGTAATAATCATATGAGTAGCAAGATACGTAGCAATAACAGCAATAGCAACTTTAGTAACAATGATAACGCTTTCAGGTGTTTACCATGGGGTGTACGGTTGTGAGGAAGTGTGTTTGGGTGTTAGTAGCGTTTTGGGTAAAGGGTTTAGTGTGTAGGGTAGCTTCAGGGAATATGTGTTCGAGCCTTTCAGCTGTGGCCGCTAGGGTTTATGTGGATGTATCATGACGACTAGGGAGTATAAGGTCCCTGAACCCTTAAGCCTAAGCCCTATAGCCCTAAACCTGAAACCCTTATAGTATCCTTCAAAGGAACCTTACAAGGAACCCCAAAACCCTATTCTAATTATTAAGTCCCCCACACTAGTTGATCCCTGTGCTTCTAAGTAGGAGGCAACGACCTCCACCTCCCCGCTGCGGGCGGCGCGGCCGCAGGAGAACCCGCGCCGATGCTGCGTGCTTCAGTGAAGAAAAAGTCGCAAGACTTCGAGATGCATTTTTTTTCTCAAATGGGTGTCTGGCCGTAAGCCCTTAACCGTAAACCCTGCCCATAGTCTCCATTGTAGTTCCTTTTTTGGGGTTAACTTATAGGACCCTTAATATAGAATTGGTAGCACCAACAAAAAGGAACTACAATGGAGACTATAGGTAAATGGGGCTTCGGGGTGTGTTTTTGCAGGTGGTTTTATAGATAAGCTAAGTTGGGGGTTTGGGGCTGTGGAAGCCTCGAGTCGAGTCTTTGGGTATCTTGTTTTGTTTTTGGTTTAGGGGTTTGGGGTTTTGGGTTTTGGGTTTGGGGTTTGGGGGTTTGGGGGTTTGGGTTTTGGGTTCTGGGTTTGGGGTTTTGGCAATAGAGTGTAGGAAGGGGTCGTGATCCCTAAGGCTCGCTGTGCCTTTGATCACTTGCGAGCTGAGTGATTCGGAGTGTTGGGCTTAGGGTTTAAGGAGCTGAATCCCACTCGGGCTTTGGCTTTCGGGGTTACGGGCTTTAGGGGTTTAGGGCTTTAGAGTTTAGGGTTTAGGAAGGCTTAGAGTAACTTGTAAATTAGAGTTTAGAGTAACTTCAAATCAAGCCCACGAATCCCTTTGTATAGTTAGTCGTCGCTTCAGACTTATATGTTTTCTTCTGCAGTGGTGGGGCTGTTTGGGTCCCACCTCAAGTTGAGACTTAATCTAGAAGCCTTACAGATTACCTGTACTATTTTCGTGGTTTCTCATTACAATGACAATGAAATATACCCCCAAGACCCTATTCTAATTATTCCGTCCCCTATATTAATCGTGCGGTTTGCGAGGGTGGGAATGACATCTCCGGTTTCTGAGCCCTGCACCTTTGACCAAATCGTCATGACGCCCCAAGGACGACAGAAGTATAAAAGGTTATGAATGTTGGAATTCTGGAACTTTGCTCTTTAAGTATTGGAGACCTTGATGTTAAGCCGGTTGCTGAAGAAGGAGAGTGAATCATCACCATGCGGTGGATGTCGGCGCAGCTTCTTTATTTCAGCCATGCGACCCCAATCAACAATCATCAACAATCCAACAAGCCTCATACCCTAAGCATCCATATCCCTAAACCCTAAACCCTAAACCCTAAAGGGCATCTTGGGTGCATAAGCGCTCTTGGCGTAGTGATTGCAGACCCCGCTTGCTCTACAGCTGCAGGCCTGAATGATTTGCAATACTATAGAAGCCTAAATAATTACCTATATTATTCCTTATGGTTCCTTATTGTAGTTATACTATAAGGGAGCCCGAAACCCTATATTATTATCATTATTATTATTATTGTTACTATTATTATTATTATTAGTATTATTATTATTTTAAGGCCCCTACATTACTCTTCCAGAGGGTGCCTTGCCTCGCCAAAACCAGGTCTACTTTGAACCTGACTGAGACATCTTTACCATAACCCGCCCTTTAGGTTTAGGGTTTAGGGTTTAGGGTTTAGGGCTTAAAGAACCCGAGTCCGTTGGTTGCGGCCGCACTAAACCCCTCAACCCTTGGCCGCAAACAACAGTCCAGCGGTTACCCTAAACCCTAAACCCTAAATAGGTCTGTTTGTTTCGTCCTTCGCAGCCGTGCATGTGGCGCCCCTGGAACTTTCCGGCGCATGTCATTGGGACATGCGGGGCGGCAGCTTTCAAAGCCTGGCAGGCAATTGCTTGTAAAACGCCTTCATCAGGACTTGTTAGTTCGGTGGCCTGCTTGATTGAATTGTGTTTATTGCCTAACCCCTAAACCCTTTTCGAACCTCTCATAGTAACTCTTCTTCACTTGTGGTAATCCCCAAGGCGGAGTGCGCCATCGCCGGGTGGTCTGCCCCTGTCTGCACGGCCATGGACGGCAGAGGGTGTCCTGGTTTTCTAGAACAGGGTTTAGGGCTTAGGTTTTAGAGGTGAGGTTCTAGAATTAAGGGTTTAGGGTAAACCCTAAACCCTAAACCCTAAACCATAAACCTTAACCCTAAGCCCTAAATTTCTTGGGATGCTTAGGGCTTCAGGTTTCGGGTTTGGGCTCCGTTTCAGAGCTGAGCTCCCCGAACTTCCTAAGCTCCACATCACAAGTCTGTATGGGTTTAGGGTTTAGGGT